CATTTCACAACTTCATACTACTGTCCTAAAAGAAAAGAACCTCGTCGGCTCATCTCTTATCCTAATATTTGCTTTTATTTTCTCTCTAAAGATACGTCAATTACTTAAATGCAATGAATTAGATACAAATAACAAGTCTATTTTGTAGTCTAGAAATAAATGCCATCTGTCATACATCAAAAACCCCATTCCTATAGTCTAAGCAAGTAATGCCAGTTGAGCAGCCCTAATCCAAAAATCTAAAATTTGAAATGCTCCCAAATCAGAAACTTGAGTGTTGTTATGATACCCCAAGTAAAATACTTCACACCTGACCTCATGTGACAGATCACAGTCAAAATACAGACACACTAAATTACTGTTTAATACTATTTTCAGGCTATTTGCCTGAAATACTCTCTGGCTCATAACTTATAGATTGAAAGAAAATTCTCCAGTCTTTTTAGGGTAAAGGCTAAATATTGTGACAGTGAGTATCCCCCCTCTCGCCATGGGGTTGATTATTTAAAAGAAGTATTTATTTATTGAGCTCTAATACTTTGTTGGACAATATTCTAAGTACTAAAGTTCCATAGATAAATAAGTCATCTTCATTTTGTTCTTCAATGTAGAAGCCAGAAGATTTCAACTATCTGTAGCATATTCAAATAATAAAGATAAACACAGAAGTTTCAGAGGAAGCATAGGCAGGTGGACCAGTTGTAGAATCTAAACAGAATCCTTATAGTGTCATGACACATTAGTGTGGAGTGACGGCAGAGGAGTTTGGTTGTCAAAAAATAAATTACAGAAAGACAAGTCTAAGCAGAGATGGAGGAGGTGCAAAATAGCATAAGCTTAGAGGGTTATAAGGCAGTCACAGTGAATAGTGGACCTAGAGACTTTTAGTTAAAAGAATGGTCCATAGACCCAGGCTGGACTGAAGACCGGGCTCTACTTCTGCCAATTTACAGCGAGGAAAAAAATTGCTTAACATTATTATTGTTTCTTCAGCTTGCTCTTTTATAAAATAGGAAAGAGAATTCTAATAGGATAGTCTATAAAGTACTGTCAAGATTAAATGTGCAAGATGTTTTTAAGAGCAACTGGCATATAGTACACCCTCAGCAAACTCGCTACCATTATTTTTAAACTGGAAGAGGATGGGAGCTGATGGGCAAGAAACTCAATTGCAATACTACATTGAAAAGCCAGCTTTCAGAACTCCATTCCCATCCCCAGTGTGAAATGTCAAAAAGACAAGAGAATGAATCAGAGCCAACAATGTGAATGTACTTGGAATCTTCTACCCCACGTATGAATCTGACAGCACCTTACCAGCATTAGCTCTGGTTATGTGGCATATTCATTGATTTTCTGAACTTGAAGGTAACAGCTGTTGTGTTCCTTGCATCTATAGTGGTTGGCATATTGCCAATCAGAAATAACTGAGTCAAGGACATAGTGTTTCAAATTTACAATGCAACACTAACTCCCTATTAAAGACAAATTTTTCATTTCAAATTGTTGACTCAGATTATCCTTAAAAAAGAATATCAGCTGTTTAAATTTAGCATCCTGAGAAAGACCGATCCTAAAATACTACTTGGCTCTGTGCCTATAACATTTTCCCTTTATTCTTTCTTAGTGTTTGTTGTCTTTTGTGACAAGGAGACAAGTGACAGTAATCATGTTAGCCTCCATTACTCTTCAAATTTTATCTACATGAACCTTTCTGTTTTTATTCTTACTAGTTGGAAATGGTCTTTTGCTTCCTGACAAATGTGCAGGAGATGACGGTGCAAGAACCAGTGGTCTTTTCAGCACTGTTCTAACCTTCCAGTAATCATCTGGACTCCTCCACAACCCACTTTTCTTTGAATCATAATTTTTTCTGCTTTACAAAAGTATGGTAGGGTTATCTGAAGATATGCCTCCCTTTTATAATCAGACCCTTAAAACCCTTTGAAGAGATGTTAACCACTACTTAAAGAGATCATTCAAGTATGGAACTTTAAAGATCTCCATGCCATACACAGACTAAAGCATTTGTTATTTTTTTTAGTTCCTCAGGATGGATTCCAAATGCATCTTAATACTCCCTGCAACCATGTCATCTAATTTCTTTATCTTCCAACTTCTTTCCTTCTTTATTAACTCTATCATCTTCCTTTCTGACAATGTTCCCAGTTTCATTTCCACAGTTTGTGAAGTCAAAGGGGAACTGAAATTGCAATGGTGATTATCTCAGATTTAGAGGTGGGTTCAATTTAGGTTCCAAATTAGGTGGTTGCAGTCTTGGGTATCAGCAGAGAAGGGAAATCTCTTGCCAGGCATGATTTCTCAAGTATTCATCACCCATGGCATTCCCAGCGGATATGCTTACTCCTCCCCTGATCCATAGCAGAGTACCATTTTAATAGAACAGACAGCAAAGTGATTAGGGGAGTTAGTCACACTGGGATCTAATCCTGACTGATCATATACCAAGTAAATTGCTTTCTGCAGGTTTTTAATTCTCCGTGGGACTGAGTTTCCTCTCAATGGGAGAGAATGCAATCTCGTAAAGTTGTTATAACATAAAAGAAATGCCATACTCAAACCACTTGACCTACTATACTACCTGCAGTCACTGTGGTCACAGTAACTGCCAATACTCATTCATTCACTGTGTGACCAAATCTTACATGGAAATAATCCAGGAGGCTCTCAAGGAGTGAATCTTCTTCACTGTTAATACCAAATGGTGAACAAGTGCTTGCAATTCTTACTTGATGTTATTTTATGTCGATGTTTTATAAAAGAGAGAAAATGCTGAAGACAGGAGAGAGGCAAAAGGAAGAGGCATATTCACAATTTTGCCTGAAGTGTCCTGTGGCCAGTGCTCCTGGGAAAGAGGTATTACTCTTAAGAGAATTGTGCATCAGTGTCATGGATATATCTAAATACATCTCTGTTCCTAAGGACAGTTGAGAGCAGAAACATCCAGGAGAGCATAATCTTAAAATGTCATTTCAAGTCTAGCTAGCACATCATCGTCATTATTGGTGGACAACATTACATTTAGGGACTAACAGCAACCTTTAGTTTGTCAAGTCACAGGTCTTTCATCGTGAGACAGAGGATGCTTCCCAGTTCAGACATCATTCCAACAAACCTCACCAATGGTTTAAATATGAAAATAATTACTTTACTTAAAATTTGTTTTTGCCAATCTCCTTTTCAGATATAAGCTCTGTTTACCAGTAGGACAAGGAAAGTGTCTGCAGCTCAACTCTACTTAGTTAAGTTTCTATCATTAATAAAATTTTCAGTATGCCTACCTTGATTTTCCATTTCCATAGTGAAATATCTCAGGTTCAAGTCATAGTCCATTTTAGAGTAACACAAAAATGTTTGAAAACTCACTCCAACTTATATTCTCAGGTTCTATGAAGATGTTTCCTTTTCTTTTTAATTGTTGCTAAAAATTTTAACTATTCCCAGATAGGCACTATCATAACATTTCCCTAGATATTTTGCTCTGATTCAAAAGTCACCCTTAGAATTTATGCATAAAGAAATTTGGCCCATAGAACAGATTGCCTATATCAAATTAGTTATTCCAACAACGTCAAAAATTCTAAGTAAGCCTTTATATCTTAGAAATATTTAAGATGAGTAGCTAATTTCACAAAACAATTCAAATTACATGTGGAAGACGCTTTATTTTTAGCAACATAATGAAAATTAGATAGATTAGGGAATGAGTAATATAATTTAAAATTGAAATAATAGAATAAAAATGATACTTAATTTCTTCATTTCTCAAGACAGAAGATTCCAGACTTATTTTGCATTTCACAATAGCTATTTAAAAAGTTTTAAATTACTTCTTCCTATAGATTTATGCTAGCCTATGGAAGTGCCCAGCATAGAAATCTAGATCCTGTTTTAGGTGACTTCTGTTGTGGCAATAATCTGTCTTGGAGAAATTTGTAATAATATGGTGATTTCTCCCATGATCCTCCAACTAAGTCTAACATTTTTGTGTTCCATGCCCCCTTTACTCTTTCTTTTTCATTATTAAAAAGCAAAACAAAAAACTAGTCTGTGTGAAAGGAATTGGCTAGATACCCCAACATTTTAGATTAATTATTTCCACTTTCTCTTTTAGAAAAAGACCTTTAGTGCTTTGCCAGTCCTCATGTGTATTTGGTCATTTGTTTCACAATGGCCTGGCCCTTTGCTGACCTATTTTTAAAAGAGTTGGTTATCTGCAATTTGAGCAACCAGCTGAAGTTGTTTTTTAAAAGTTTACTCAGCCTTCTTGTTGTGCCAGTGAACATAATGCTGCTTAGTTTCCAAGTATAAACCCATCTATGTGAAAATCACCACTTTGAAATTACAAGGAAGACACTGTTGAGCAAGTGGAGATTATTGCCCCAGTAAGAAACTGAGGAAACTCTACATCCCACCTAGTAAAGAGCATTTAAATGTTTATCACTTAAGTGTCCCCTAGGCTGTTGCTTAGCAGTTATCTAGAGACAGAGATCACATTTTATTTTCCTTCAATAATGTCAATCAATGACATTTTATTCTGTCTCTGCTTGTTTATTTTACAGATTAGGAAATAAATCTGGAGTGAAACTTGTAATAACAATTTACTAGGGCATTTGAAATTCTAAACCAGCCTCTTAGGGTTTGATTTGTAATAAGGAAGCTGCTAGCTCATCAGTAACTTTCAGGAGACCGCTCTTACAATAAATCTAGCACACATTTACCGGTGCTTTTGCCTAAAATCACAAGGGACCGGGCACTTTCTGCAGACCTAACTAAGCAAAGGTATCCAGCAGCAAAAAGCAAAAGAGAGTACCAGGGTCAGAGCGTAGCTAGGACAGGAGTCTGGGACCAAACCGATTACGCATTTCACGGAAACCCGAAGCTGTGCTCTCCCAACTTCGCTCGCCAAGCCTCCGCGGGTCCCGTCCCCCCCGCACCCCAAGCCACTGCGCTCACTCGGGCTCGGCGGCGGAACTTACTGCAGTGCGGTGCAAGCAGGCGGGCGCAGCTGGAGGTGAGCGCGCCGGCAGCTGGGAGAGGACGGACGCCGCTCGCTCGCTCGCTCTCAGGGCTCGGTGCCCGCGCCCTCCCTCTGCTCGGCTTCCTGGGAGCGCAGCCTCACGAGCTCCGCGCACCGCGTCCTCCTCCCTCCTGCTGCCCCCTTCCCCTTCCCGAAGGCACGGCCCGAGCCAGCGCCTGGGAGGTGGAAATCGACTTCCCGGCGACACCACCACAGGCTGCCCGCCGTCCACCAGCCCCCTGATCACTTGCAACTCGAAAACAGCGGGGGATGAAAGACGTGGGTTTCCGGAGCCTGGAAGACAGTTCTGGCGTCTCCCCCTTCCCCACGTCGCACTCCTCCCACCGCGCCCCCCTCCTCCTGCACCGCGGCCACCTCCGGGGTTCCGGGCTCGCGCTCCAGCTAGGTGTCACGCACGAACATCGCGTTCCCCGCGCCCATAAACACCCAGGAGCAACCCGAATTGGTCGTGGAGCGAATACCTGTTGTCCGTGACTAACACTCTGCTTTCACCTCTCTTAGTCCTTGCTTTGCATCAAGACGCGTGGAGACTGGAAGTCAGTGCAGTGTGTGTGTGGCGAGAGGAGGAAATCTGTGAGGCTGCGAGCAACAGCCCTGCCTGGCTCTGGCTGCCGCCGCTGTTGCTACTATAGCTGTTGGAGCTCAGGGAAAAATGAGACAGGGAGACAGGGCTGGCTTCACAGCTGTTTAACTGCTGCCTGAGTTATGACGCGGGGAGCCTGTGCAGGTATGAGTGGCTGGGAATGAGACTTTAAACTGGATTATTCACCACAATTGCTACCGTTCAGGGTGCGTTTCCCCTCCTCCACCGGGAAAGCGGATCGATACCTTCTCCCCTCGCCATTCTAACTGTACTTTTTGATGGGTCATTTATTGTTCAGCCACCAGCTACCTCACCCCCTTCCACCAATTCCAGCAGTGGCGCGCTCTCCTGCTTTCCAATTTAGTGATCTGGGAGCAGGTAACTGGAGGGTCCAGAAGGATTAAGTAGCACAACAGTTGAGTATTAACAGGGAAACTGTATGCATATGCAACCAATCAGGGCTCAGATGAAAATGATGATTTTTGAGCCAAATGTGCAAAATAATGCATTGGATAATAAAAGGTATGGTAGTCAGTAACCGCGTTATTTTATAGAACTGCAAAATCTGATAGTTATTAAAGACGATGTCTACTGATATCACTCCATCAGCTACATATCCTGATGAAAACTCCTTACTGCTGTCCACCTACTCACCCTCCTTATGCTTATTAGGCACTCATCCTCTGCCCTCATTTGTCTCCAACGTAATCTCAAGCAAGGAGATATTTACCAGAATTTAGAAGTTAAAGGCATTCTCCAACCCCCAAACTCCCAGTATAATGCATCTTAATGTCTCACACCATTTACTCTAGCAATGATTTGCCTTCGTGTTCTTGTTGTGTAATAAAATGAGTAATCATGAAGAACTCCTCCTAACTCCCCCACATCATTTAACAGTACTTTTAATCTACTTTCAGCCTTCACTTGTCTGAGCTAAAATAAACATTTCTTTTGGATATTGTTTGTAATGCATACCTTATATATTTCAGCCTTGCTCTGAGTACTTTCCATGTTTGCTCTGTGTTTACCTAGTTGTGAGGATTTACCGGAGTGTAGAAGAGAACACAGAAAGAAGACAGCCCTTGGGAATATAAAAAAAAACCCAAAATGAAGACAAGAACACAAAATAGTTAAACACTGCTTCTTTCTGATTCATTTATATAGAAATTATTTCCTTTAGCTAAGCAAAGACCAGCTAATGAACAAATCTTACCAATTATCCAATAAATATCTATTTACCAAAATCAACTTAACTATATTTGCAGCAGAAATCATTATTGGTTAATAGTATATCTTAAAATTCCCCAATGGCTTAAGTGCTAAGCATATCCAGTATTTTGAAAATCTCAAAATGCTAATAAAACATGATGCCACGTATTTTCACCTTTTCATGTTTTTTTTGTATCAAATAACTATTATATAAAGCACAACAGTTCTAAAACTCTAAAGAGGATCTTTCTGTTTTTATATGTGTATGCATGTCAGTGTAAAATAGCAGTCCTCACCACCTGGAAACACATTCTAATACAGAAAGCCAACTTATCCACAGATAGTTTAAGTTTATTCTGCCCCCCCCCCCACTTACCACTTACTAATTGTGCCAGAATTAGTAAGAGTTACCTATCTTAGTGGTTTTTTTCTCCCTCAACATTATCCTAATATTTTACATTTCAAGTATATCTAGAAAGAGCATTTAAACATTCCTCAGAGACTTAATTTATTAGTTTTTTTATTACAAATAAGCAAGTGTCTAAAAGTCTGGTCTGGGTAGTGACAGAAGTACACAAGATATTAAAATAATTGGTTATGAGTAGCACTAAGTAGGAGGGCTTTTAAATTGCATATTTCATTCTTGAAACAAGGTAAAACAATTTTCTTGACAAAATCACAACACTTTGGTAATAGAGAAAGAAAATCAGTTGAAGAATGATGAGTAATTCTTAATTCCTGACTCTTAGAACTAAGGAATTTCCAATTTGTGAGAAATTTTACCGATCACTGCTTTACAATCCCCGGTCCATTATTCTAAGATGATTCTCTGGATTTCATAAACTTCATGGATATCTTTTTATAATTAATCTAAAAACATAGTGATAGCAAATGAACTTGCTCTATACACACTCATTAATAAAATAAATTTTATGAAAACAGGAAATACCTAATGTTACATTCAACTAAATCTCATTCATCATAAAAATATGTGTTCTCAAATAATTAGTTCAGTAATACTCTTTTCCTGGAGAAAGTTTGCAAGATCTGCTACTGCAGAAGCCAAGTCCCTATAGTTCATTCATGTAGCTCCAGTATCTTGCAAAGTGCTGAGAACATGCCATGATCATAGCGAATAGTTTTTGAGTAAAAAAGTGAGTGAAGGAAATAATCTAAGAGTTCAGGGAATTAGGAAGATAAATTAGCTGGGAATAAAGGTGCTTGAATCCTTTCTATCTTTTTTCTGATGTTAAATAACTGTGCCACATTAGGGAAGTGACTCAATTTCATGGTCTCTAAGTATCCTTTCAGGTCTATCACTCACAAACCTCACAAAAATGCATAATAAATATCTATGCCCAATAGCACTCCAAAATGCATTTTTACTCTCCAAATGCAATCAATAAAATTCTCTAAATCTCATTTCCTGACCATTTGACAAACCAGAAACATGAAGGATTTATTTAATCCCTGGTAAATGTAGAGCTCCCTCCCACAGCCTTTTAAATTCCAAGTCTGACCCTAGTCTTGTGTGTACTAGATTACAAGCTTAAAGAAAATAGGTGAGTACACAGTTATGGATGTGAGTGAGTTCCTAAAGTGTTAGGGATTGTCATTGACTTTTTGTTCCTCTCAATAAGATAATTGTTAAATGAAAAGCAAACAAAAGGAGAAGAAACAAAAATGAGAAGAAATGACTTACATCATAAAGTACAACTATTTCTTTTTTGCAGATATGAATCTATTTTAATCACAGCCCTTGGTGTAAACTGATGCTCAAAAATTACCTTGTCATATTAGTTATATCCAAAAAACATTTCTTAAGCATCAGGTCATACATCTGCTTTTTAAAGAAAATATTGTCTCAGAAATAAATGTATTCTTAATTTTTATTTGAAATGCTTAAATATTTTATGTCTTAGAACAATCAAGTCATTTAAATATATGTGCACACATGATTTAAATCAACCAAACTTATCTTAAGTGATGAGGGCTACTTTCTAAGTGGAACTGATTGACATATAGAAACGTTCCCATTCGATTCAAATCTATGAATCACTAGATGTAGCTTGGAAAGTTATGAGAGACTCGGAAAAGTCTTGATTTTATTGAACTCCCTTTAGAAGAATAATGGTCATAAAACATTGGATTTGGCTTGGCCTTTAGACCTCATGTAATCCAATTCTCATCTTTTACAGCAGAGGGAACTAACCAAAGAGATCACTGCACCTTGTTGCTGGGAAGGCCATTTTAGCAGTTTTTCCACTGGATTCTAGGATGGCACAAAGCTGGCACATTTCAATTCCCAGCTCTTTTAATGATTGGCTGTATGACTTGGATCAATTTTCTCACCTATAAAGTCAGGATAATTATAGAGTCATTGAGTGAATCAAGGCATATGGAACATGTAAAACAAAGAAGGGTGCCTGGCAGAGCTCTTCATGTGCCTCTGTGTGCACATGGACACACACACACACACACACACACACACACACAGGAAGAGCAGATTCTAAGACTAGTGCCTCTTCTTTTCATTGAAACCACCATTTCTGAAGTTTTTGTTTAAGTATATAACAAGAATTATTTTTCATTTATTTATCTATAAGCAAAGCTGTATCTCAGTGGAGATGGGAGGATACATATGATTTATTTAGAGGTAGTAAGCATATCGCTGAACTGGGAGACAATTGTTAAATCATGGAGCAAGAATTCTTGCTCTACTTCAGAAAACATAAAGGTGGTGAAGGCAGTCTGACTGAGCAATGATAAATAATATACATTGGTGAAAAACTCTTCATTCAAACTTTCTTAGGCACCTCCAACATGTGAGTTCCCAAGCTAGATACATAATTAAGAAACTACAGATAATGCAACAAAAAATGATTAAAAGCGTAAAATAGGAAACCTGTGACAGAGAAATTGTAGTTTTGCAATTGAGGTTTTATGTGGGAAATGAACAGAATGTAATAGAGCCCAGCCATTTATTTGGCTGTCTTCGTGATGGATGCAGAGTACGGGATAATTAATTTAGCAATGGTAGCACACACAGAGTTCCTGAAAATGCTCATATTTTATATTGCATGACCTCACTTTATTATTTAGACCAATGATTTACAGAAGGACAGGACATGCATATTCTGTGGTGATTTTTTGTTTGTTTGTTTAAAAAGCAAGATAGGTAGATTTAACTTTGACCTCGTCTATGCCTGATCTACCTCTGGAAGGGAACCCCTCAGCTCTCCCCCACAAGCTGGTGGCCATTTCTCTGTCTCTTTACTGGACTTACAGGACAAATTAAATTCAAATTTGCACAAAACTGCAAAAAGAAGGCACTAAAAAGATTTTTTCTATTCTATTGGCACAGAATATGATAAAAAAATCATATTAAATCACAGTTTTAAAGAGAAAAGATAATCTCTATTCAATACCTAAATTTTTGAAAGATCATCTACAAATTTCAAGCAAATTGCTACAGAAGCTTTAAGGAATTGAAATGATTAAATCTAGTTTATAATTTATAATAAAAGAATACTTTAAGTGAAAATGCAGATAAAAAGGGGCTTGAATAATTTTTGTTGTTGTTGTTACTGCTGCTGCTGTGCTGTATTTTATACATGTGATTT